GCAAAAGCAGCAAAAGAAGTAACCAATCGGAAACACCACAACAAACTCAGATGCAAAACAGGAAGGATGACAAACAGGAAAACCAACAGCAGCAGAAGCAGGAGGAGCAAGACGACGTCGAGTGGGAGTCATGCTGCCTGCTGCAGCCAGCAGACGAGAAGAAGGATAGAGGCGCTGCCCTTAGCAGCAGCAGCAGTGGCATGGAATGGGGAGGATCGCGAAGAACTCCTAGCAGGTTGCAACGTATGGCCTTCTCTATGGGCTGTTTTGGGGAGGCGGCACAGCGCAGAATGGAAATTCAAAGGGAAAACTCCCCTCCCCTTACCCCTTCTCAGTACAAAGCATGGAGAAAACAGCAGGAAGTGCCGCCAGGTACAATCAGCGCCACGGTGAAATTTTGTAGAGGGAGGCTCAGACATGATTGGCATATACATCAACTTGCTTTCAGACTTTTAGGCTCACCCTCTCTTCAGCGTTTTTTCAGCTATCGGGTTTCTGGGTTGATAGATGTATAGGGTTTACGTTTTTTGTGGTGCTGTTCTTGTTTTGGCCATCTGTTTGTACAGATGATGGGTCGCTTTTCCCTCGCGGTCTTGCCAACCTCAAGAACACGTGTTTTCTTAACGCGGCTCTCCAAGCACTTGCTGGCATTCCTTGCTTCGTAGCGTCGCTTCAAGCTGGCTTGCCACCAGAGCCAGGCTTTAGTGGAACCCACTGGAAAAGTTCCAGGGAGTGTGACAAGCTTCTCGGAGAAGACGACGGTGCGGTTATTGCTGCGGCAGCTGCGGCCTGTAGTAGCACAACTGCGTCACCACACAGTGAAGAAGCTCAAACTCAGCAGCTTCAACAACTTGAGCAACACCATGGACGGTCACAGACTTTGCAGCAATGGGAGTCGCTGCAGAGGCAGCAGCCACATTACCAGCATCTACTGCAGCAGCTGCGCCTCAAGCGACAAAGAAGGAGCAAGCATCAGCCAGAGTGTCTCGGATCTCTTGACGAGAACCAACGACGATTCCTTCTCCGAGAATTCTTCACTTTGCTATGCAGGCTGACGTGAGCTGAGAGTGATGTCCCCTTTCTGTTGACTATGTCGTTAAGTCGGTGTCCGCCTACAATTTTGGGAAACTAATGGTAAGTTGTTTACACGGTGGGTGTGTATGTCCAGGTGCTGTCCCAGCATTCGGCCTCTAGAGAGCGCAGATCAACCCACCGAAGGGTTGGCCGCTCAGAGACCGAGAGAATCAAATTCTGCTGCCACTTGCAAACCGGAGCAGCACCAGCAGCTCCAGCAAGCGGTCTCTGTGCAGCCCGGCACCATTCGGCCGGAAAGATTCAGGAAAGCTCTCGTGGCTCCTCTTGCAGGTCTCCTTCTTAATGACTGCAACATGCAGCAGCAACAGGACTGCCATGAGTTCCTCAGGGGCCTCATCGATTTAATTCACGAAATACTCAGAAGTTGCAGATTGGTGGGTTCTTGCGCTATTGCTGCTGTTGTTGGTATGATGGTATCATGGACTGGAAGCCTGGCAGGTGCACCTGTGAGCGTGCCCACTTGAGGTATCTTGCAAAACGAGTCACCCGTGAAACAGCGTACTGGGCGTACTCTTACCGCATGAAGCATTGTTAGCTGTTTCTCTTTTGTCTGCTGCAGCAGAGAGAAGAAGCAGCAGCAGCAGAACAACTGTTGCAGCTACAGGCGGGGCCTCATGGCGATGCTCTAGAGCCTTCGGTTCCGGTGGCCTCGGGTCCTGTCCGCACTCCGCCTACCGTTGCTGACGGCAAGCAGAAACAGTATTTGGAGAATTCAGGGGATAGGCAGGCGCAACAGGTTTGTCAGCAGGGGCTGCAGCAGCGGGCTCCTGCATCATTGTCCCCATCGTCTGCTTGTGCTAGATCGTCTAATACAAGTGTCGCAGCGCTAGCAAATGAAAGAATCTCGCAAGTTCTTCCGAGGAACCTGATGGGGTATGAAACGAAGTCAGGCGATATGAGCTCCGAGAAAGTGGCCAGTGGAGCGTCTTTCTGCAAACGCCTGCAGGAACCCTGCAGCAGGCCCAGCTCTTTGTGTTCGCCCAGCTTTACGGGTGAGGCGGGAGAGAGTGGAGAGGCAGGAGAAGCAGTCAAAGACGGTATGAAGAACGCAGAACTTGCTGAGAAAAAGTGGAGGGAGTACCTTAAAGAGCAAGAGTCCCCCATGGCGGACTTTTTTGCTGGACAGGCAAGAATTTGCGGGTCTAAGGCTCACGTTTCTTTTGTTTGAGTTTACATTAAGGCTAGACAGTTTTCAGAACATAGACGCATGTAGTGGTTGGTCCGATGTACGTATTTTGAAATGTATTTCATTAAATGACGTGTGGCGAATCACAGTTTATTGGTGGGGCTGTCTGCGCGTTTCTGCTGCGTGTCTACAGCTTTGCAGCGAAATTCAGTGTGCGTGGTGCAAGCGCTCTTTGTTCATATTCGAGCCAGCGTGGGATTTGTCTTTGCCTCTCCCCTTGATTGCCCAGCGAGTGTCCCTGAATGATTTATTGGAAGACTTCTTTGGCGCTGAGGAGCTCGACTTCAGCTGTAGCAGTTGTCACACCGCTGCTTGCAAGGCACATAGGACCATCAGATACACGCATCCACCCAGAGTTTTATTGTTGCAGATAAAGCGGTTTTCTGCCTCCGGTCAAAAGAGGCGGACTCGCGTGGAATTCCCGCTCGATGAACTTGTCATGAAAACGAAGGGGTTCGGCGCACATTGCAAACAGAATTAACGCGCAAATTAGAATTCTTATATCCTCCTTCCCTTGCAAGTCTATCTGCTGAGTTGGTTTCCTACGCATACCTGATTTTAATCAGTGCGTGTTGTTTCACTGCGTTCTTTTCTGGGACCACCCTACGCTAACGAGGAATTGAGACTTTAAAGATACACTTTGTTGTGTCATGCAGGGGATCTGCCACCTTCCGTTTGATTGCGGTGATTGAACACAACGGCAGCAGTTGTCAGTCGGGCCACTACGTGGCGTATGTCCGACGAAAGAGATTCATGCTCCCTGTCGGTCTTTCATCAACTGCTGGGGCAGCTTCCGGACGACCTGAGACCCCCAGGAGCTCGGCGTGTTCGCCGTCTGAACTTCTCAAGCGCATTGGCCTTCTGAGGAGCTTCACAAGCTTCGCCTGCCCCTCTTTGAGGCATCCTAACTGCCCGACCCTAGCTCATGCTTCAGGGTCACCTCCACGAGGGGTTGCGCATGAATCGCCGTTTAGACAGTTGAGATCAGTAATCTCCGAAGGAGACAAAGAAGACGGCACAGAGGTAAGTTTACCCGTTTTTGTAGGCAGCCGCACCTGCCGTATGCTCGCGGGCGCTTTTCGCTTGGGTCGGCATATATCGGCAACCCGTGTGTCGTCATCCCCTTGGCTTTCTGAGTTTCTTTGCCCTGCAGTGGTTTCGCTTCGATGATGGATTGGTTCTCCCCGTACCTGAAGGGGAAGTTCTTTCTGCAGAGGCCTACTGCCTCTTTTACAGCAGAATCAACAGTGCAGAAAGACAATGCAGTTCCGGCTCAGAACACAGGGACAGCCCGGCCAGTAAACTTAAGTTCCACTGAACAACCTCGTGGTCGTTCTGTTTTTAGGATCAGTTGCCGCGGTACTTTCCGCATTTGACGCGTAAAAGCCAGTGAAATCAGGGATGGGTTGACTTCTTCTGATTCATCTGGGGTTAGCAACGGCGCATTTAGGGACAAGGACGCGCTGCGTGTAGCGCTGTTTTTCGGTGCGTAAGACTGCGAACGTTTGTGTGCTTGTGAGCCCGAGTGATTGAGGTGACAGTCGGCTTTCCAGCTCCTAAATGCTGATTGCACACGAGTAGAACGCCGCTTTGCGCTTTGTTCTTTTGCCTCGCACTATTGCTACACTGTATGTATACGCACAGACGGAGAGCATATTTACTGTGGACATCCGCTGGCGCTGCGTACATTTGTACTTTCACTTTGTCTCTAAGTCATAGGCGCGGTAGCCCAGACGGGTGCTTGCGGCAATAGTTTCGTTGTGTATTAGTTGTGTCTGGGGGATTAACTTTGCCCGGATTTTGTCCTCCACTTAGTTGAAATCGCATGAGCCTTCAGAGGGCCGCGCGAAATATAGTCAAAACAACTAGTTGCAGTGCTTCTAGCATGCGCCTTGCCCTTATCAAGCGATGGAGTGGGCGGGAGCTGTCGTCTGTTGCGCTCTTGCGAGCAGTGCGGAGGGTCTCCGGAAGCTTCACTCCCAGCGTTAAAAGCAACATGCCCTTGACATTGGAAAAATGCCTAGACAACGACATTGCTGAAGCAGGGTGTAGAGTGATCAGTGGGCCCTCCCTGTTGAGGATCGGCGTAGACACAGTGAAAGTCGAGTTGGCAAACAGGAGCAAGAACTCCATGGAGAGGCAGTAGCACTGCCAGACGGTTTTGTATTATCGCCTGAAGGCGAACTGATGTAACATAAACATTATCATTATCAGCGCAGAATATGACGCCCCGTCACCAGTCTGTATGCACGACATAGTCTGACCCCACAAGCCTGCCAGTGGAGCGCTAGTACGCGGAAGCCCTAGTACGCGAAAGCCCGGAAGAGTGGCCGTCGCTTTATTTACACTCAATACGTCATGAATAAACTGAGCATACTTTTTATTTTCCTAATCGCGGAGAGAATGACGGGTCATTCATTACGTAGCTTCAGCAGTGTCTCTTCGTTTCCTATTCTCTGTGTTCTAGTGGAGCCATTGTAAGTCGGCCTGTAGCATTTGTAGCCCTCAGATATCTCATCCAAGTAGGAGTCTGTCTAGATGACGCATATTCCAATGCCTGATCGTTTGTAACGGGCTCTCCTCCCTGCCCGGAGCTCCCTATTGAGTTTTCCTGGGGAGCATAAGGAAGGCGTGTGGATACTTGATCACCAATCAGCAGCCGATATTCCCGACATAACTGCGTCGCATCAACGCCCTGAAGGCATTTTGCCTTAGACGAATGGAGGAAGGAGTAAACGCCGTCCTAGCGGCAATGATCACCTCCAGCGCACCCTCGGCGCATGAAGCAATGCCAACTAATCAAAATCTGAAGCCTCAAACGGCTCCTTCCGAGCCCGTTAACTTAGCAAATAAAAATGATGCTGTAGAGGAAGAGACCTTGCATTCGTGGTTCCCTGCCACGTGTCCAGGTTTCGAAGCCCGTTGTGGTGATGTGAAAAGACTCGTAAAGGAAGATCTGGAGGATCCCCACAGGAGGAAGCACCTGGAGTCATTCAGAAAGTGCATGCAAGAATGGGAAACATATGACCCAGGCGCGAAGAATGAAATGCAGGACGAGACTGCGAGCGCCCTTCTCGCGGATTTGCTTAAGATGAAGCCCAAAACAAGCGGAGAGTTCGATGCTGCTATGCAGTCCCTTAGAAAAAAGTACAAGGTTGCGCCAGCTAAATCGCAGCTGGTGACTGCGTACAATCGTTTCATTGCTGAAGAGGCCAATTGCGAACAATCCCAAGGGGACGCGTCTCTGGGTTTATGCAGCCAGGAAGAAAAGGAAATTGGGAGCCCTGCAAACCGTCTGCGCGATCCGATGCTAGAGAGCTTGATGCGAAGAAAAGCCGTGCGTACAAACAGCGGCGTTATTGTGATTACGGTACTGACGGCACCAGGGCGTTTTTCCTGCCCACAAGACTGCCACTACTGTCCAAATGAGCCGGGGCAACCGCGATCGTATCTATCAACTGAACCGGCAGTACTGCGAGCAAACCAAAACGGGTGGAGTCCCCTGAAACAGTTTAAAGACAGAGCAGAGACGCTAAGACGGAATGGCCATGTTGTTGACAAAATTGAAGTTCTTGTTCTTGGAGGCACGTGGAGCGGGTGAGGCCTCATCGCTGTCGCAACTAGGCTTAATTTGCGTAACAAAGGGCCTGCGTACTTAAATGCATGAACATGTGCCATGCAATGTATTTTTGCCGCAACCCTAGATATCCCCAAGACTACCAGGAAGAGTTCATCCGCGACGTGTACTACGCTGCCAATGTTTTCGGAGCACCAGAGCCAGTTCGGCAACCGTAAGCCGTTTTGTCCCGTTCTTTTGCACCATGCACGATTCACGCCTGTGTCAGCCAACTTGCAGTTGAGAAGGAATGAATTGTGCGGCGTTGTAAGGTGCGTGGCTGCTGTGCTTTTTTGGTGGATGCAGCCTCTCCTTAGAAGAGGAGCAGAGCCTAAATGAGACGGCAGACTGCCGTATTGTAGGACTAACTTTGGTGCGCTGCCGCCCACAGAGGTCCAGCAGTGCTCCTAAGGTCATGAGGCGCAGCTTCAGGGAGTTCTTGATTCCACTGTTATGCCGTGAAAAAACAGCTTCCATTGTCACTGATTGACTGACAGCTTGAGTGTGCAGGAAACTCGACCAGACTTTATTACACGCTACGAGTTGCGCCGGCTACGACGTTTTGGATGTACTCGTGTCCAGATTGGCGTGCAGCACGTGGATGATAATGTGCTGCAGTACATCAACAGAGGCTGCACGCGCCGGGACGCAATAAAGGCTATCCGAATGCTCAAGGATGCGGGATTCAAGGTGCTTGTTCCACGGCCCGCCCATAGAACCACGCCTTCGCACAGAGTCCACAAGCAGACACGAATAAGCCACTGTATGAAAGTGATTACTGAATTATTACTTGAGGCCTGCGGTGGCGGGCTTGCACCAATTACAGGTGGACGTTCATCTTATGCCAGATCTGCCGTCGAGTAACCCAGATTTAGACCGCCAAATGTTTCACTATGCACTCTGCTCCCCCGATCTCCAAGCAGACCAGTGGAAAATATACCCGTGTGAAGTGACGCCCTTTTCAACGATAGAGGTAAAATTGTTGTGTCAGCACACATTTTCCCGTTGAAGGCGGCAAGGCGGCATATCCTCATTGGTTTTCTGTCAGGCAGTTCAGCGAAGCGTTGAACAAGGCGCAGCAGGAGCGATTTCGCGCACAGTGGATTGCCTTCACATAACTGTGTGACTAGGGTTGTAAGACAATTAATAGATAATATAGCCACTACAGCGAATTGCTGTTGCTGTTCTGATTGTGCACTGGGTGCAGCAATGGTATAAGGAGGGGAAGTTTGTTCCATATGCAGATACAGACGGGGACACCTTATTATCCCTTATTTGTTCTGTCAAGGCAGCAGTACATCCATGGATTCGACTAAATAGAGTGGTGCGAGACATTCCAAACCAATCTATCATTGGAGGAAACAGCATCACAAATCTCCGGTAGGCTGGGACGTCCAGTGTATTGTTATTCCCCGTGGGCTTATGGCTTAACGCAGATGCATACAAAGTAATTGGTGGCATATATTTCGACATATGGACACAGTTTGTGCTCTAAGTGAGTTTGGAAACTTTGTTTTGAGGGGATACGCGCGTGTGGTCTGTTGTGCTTAGGCGCGCTTGTCTGTAGATATTCTGTGCTGTCATGTTGAGTGGCGCGTAATAAGCAGTCGCGTAGGTTGCGGCTTGCGAGAAGTTATTTGTCGCCAACCGTATGTGCTTCAGACAAGAGCTTTCTAGAGAGCTCCAACACCGCCACTTGCGTTGCAGATGCATTCGCTGCCGCGAAGTCAAGGACGCTCAGTTCGATTTGGGGTACGGCCCAGTCAGTGATCTCATCTTTATTGTCTTCATTAACATCAATAGGATAGGGAGTTACAGCGCACGGATAGGCCTGATCGAGGCGTTACTATGAAAGGTTGCACTTCGCTCTCCTGTGGCGTTTGGTACCTCAGCTGTACCTGTTAGACGAGCCCACTCTTGGCATTCATACATGCTCTTGCGGAGGCCTCACGCGCGTTTGCATTTTCATGACTGCCTGCAGCATCGCGGAGCTGTGCATTCGCCGCTACGAAACAAATGGAGGCGTGGAGTATTTCGTGTCTTTTGAGACACCCGATAGGAAAACAATATTTGGATTTCTCCGGCTAAGACTTCGTGCGCGGCGAAGCTCAAGAGACTGTCCCTTCAGCGTATTGAATGGCGCAGCACTGCTGCGAGAGTTGCACGTGTATGGTGAGCCCTTCTTCAACTGTTCCCCCCCGTTTCTGTGAAATTCATGGTGCTTTTCAGTTTTGCTGCCGTCTGGTAGTGTACTCCAGTGTCTTTGCGTGCTGTAGCTTCCCCTTGAGAACCTGTATACTGTTTGGCCGCTCCGCGCTCGACGTTTGATTTGTGTAATGCAGCCTGCCCTTGAGTCACCCCTAGTCTTGCCACTTCATGCAAGTTTACGAACGCCTATCTCTCGTATTTGTGTGCAGGGTGTTTAGTTCCGCACGGAGAAGCGAAGAGCAGCGGTGACTTAAGACCGCAGCACGCTGGATTTGGCAGGCGCTTGATACAAGCAGCAGAAATTTTGGCCTTGGCCAACGGTAAAAATAATCCCTGTCCATCTTACGCGTTATGCTTAGAAGAAATGGGAGGTTTACAGCATGCGTCGGCGTTCTGCATGCTAATCCACGTACAAGTAACATTTTGACGATGCGAGAATGCGCTCATACTTAAAGCTACATTTTTACTTGGCTGCTAAATCACAGAGGAAGATTGTTGACCCCCACTAATGAATAGTGAGGCGCCTGACACACGACGTGGGCGCAGCACTTAACTATGGCTGGTTAGCTTTTATCACTGAAGATAAAGTAGGCTCTTTACGGGATATAGGCAGTAGTGAGAGACACGGGAAAAGTGATTTATTTTGTGGGTGGACGTTTCTGTGGCCTTACAGCAACCACGATAATATTCCAGCGTAAGAAGATATTTGCTGCTACGATTCAGGGTACCACCGCATGGCTGTGATAGCGGGTATCGGCTCGCGGGAGTACTACCGCATGAGCGGCTATCAGGTGGACGATACATACATGATCAAAGACTTGACAGTTTCGGGTCTCCATGCAGGCCGGGAGGACTTGCTTGCGGATCGGCCCAAGCAGCTCTTGATTGAATGGCAGGACATGCAGCAAGCTGCTGCAACATTGCTGCTTCCGTTACCACCTAGGGAAGCAATACGAAAGGTTAAGGGTAGGCAAATGGAGCGTAAGAAGTTTCGAGCTAGCAGGAAACCGGCAGTGCAGCCAGAGGTGTCTTCGACGGCCGTTGCAACGACCTACCAGGAAACGAAAGAGAGAGCAACAGCGTTTCAGACAGAGTACACGACGACCGTTGAGGTTATTGATGTTACTTTGTTGTTGCAAAGTCTACAGAACAGCGAGCCAGTACAGTCTGGTTCCATCGAAACGCCTGCCGTGTTCGCTGACAGAGACACATTTGCGGAACACTGCGACATCTTTGCCGCATTGCAGCAGGCAGCGAAACCCAGTACAAGGAGCAATTCTTCATCTCCATTGTCTCCATTCTCGGCCGCTTTATTATCCATTAGGCAAGAAGCAACTGTAGCGATCAAGACACGCCTTTTTTTCGTCGCCACAGTCACGGGAGCGGTGGCTGCAGGGCTTCTATGGTTCGTGGCTAGAAGACATTAGTGGAGTTTTCAGTTGGCCGTCGACTGCGAAAGATCTGTTTTTTCGTCTTTCTTGACTTCCGTTTAGTTTACCGCTCTGTACACGCATGTGCACCAATAAGGCGTGAGCACCACACACGTAAACGCAACAAACGCCTGAGTTATGTGAATGAGTTATGTAAATTCCGTATACGACTTAAGGCGCATGTGCTGATGGGCTGGCACGTGGGAAGGACAGTGTCACAGGCGTCATTTTTCAATGCAGAGCACGACTTTGAACGAGGCAAAGCCTGTGAACGGCACCTGGAAACTTCGATGATATATTGCTGATGGGAAACAATAGATATCATGACACTGTGGGCGCCACGCCTCTGCTTGCAGAGTGAGATCAGTAAGAAGGCAAGTCGCAACTCCTGCCAAAGCACCGTCTTACATTTTTGATGAGGAAAGGAGCTGCCCTACGTCTTGCCACAGACCTTTTCACTAACAACTTTGCACAGTTTTAAGTGAAAGGCGGCACCGAAAGGCATCGCCATGAGTTTGTGGGCTCGTCGGTAAGTGAATGTACCACGGCGTGGCTTGAAGCGGCACTTCAATTCACACCTTGCTTTCGTTCTCGCACACAAACTTCCTAATTACTGAGTGGGGATCGGCATTCAACGGAGTTTTCTGTACGTTGTGAATTTGAGGTAGAGGGATAAGCTCCAGGCGTGGAGAGTAAGGCTTTACGCTATTTGCCGGGTTCCTGTTTCAAGTGCTCATTTGCCGTAAGGCCTCAACGGGTGGTGAGCACTGGGATGAGCCACGCTATCAGCAACAAGCTGTCTGTATTGCTTCAGGCAGTTTTACTGTCGGCAGTATCGGAAGGCAGATGATTCTATTTCACATTCCAGTCAAGAAGGAAGCGCTCAGTACTAGCGGAGCTAGGTCGCGGCTTACTAGCAGTAGCGCCCCTTTCAACTCAGATGCCAGATGCAAGAAGTACTTTGCACTGCATTTGCAAGAGATATCGCTTGTATCGTCGGGCAATTTGTTCGGTCCAGAGCAGTACTGCCGCTACTTCGCATAACGGAGCCTTCCCTAACCCGTATAGAAAGAAACGAATGGTGACAGCTTGTGGCTGTGGAAGTGGTCCATAGTATGACCTAGCTCGCTCAGGGAGGAGAGTGAGTCAGGGATCGCGCAAAGACTTGACCCCATTACGCGCTATCGGATAACTGGTTTGCAAACCAAGAGGTCACCCGAAACTTCACTGACACATGCGAAGGCATGCATTGCTGCTGGGTGACTCTCAACTTTGTGCGTGAGAAACAGCGCCGACATTCGTTTAGGTGCCAGGTCTTTGGACCTGGACAGCTGTATTCGCTACGTCGATTACCTCGAGAGACATCATAACTTACAGCTAGTGCTACGGGTAGCAGCTGCCAGTAATGCATGATAATCGTCGAATATACGTACAGGACTTCATTCCGTGCCGCAAGTGCCAATCTGACAATAAGCAAAATTTTACTAGTGAAGACCACACGAATAAAAATGTCCGGCCCACATAGCTCTATAAAAGGCTGACGAGCTGTTGCACAAGCAACAGTCAGTCCACCATAAAAATACCACTAATCTGCTTAATTTGCATAGACCTTTGCAGCTAATGAGTGTGCATAGTGCTAGTGATACGGGAAGTTAGGCTCAGGTGAACGCCTTCATGGTTTGGTTTGGGCTAAATGATATAATGCGCTGCTCCAGGAACGCCTATTTGTCTGCATTCTGCATCGACTGTATCGGCACGGATCCTCCGTTTCAACATATTACTGACATCATCAGTAATGCGGCTTTACCTGTGATTTTCAGCAGAAGAACGCACTGCTCTTGGCAGCCAAATCGTTACCTTTCAGCATGTATGAGAAAATGCGATTTGAACAATCCTTGTAGAACGCGAGGAACACCCTGCCTTTCCTCAGCGTTAAAACCTTGCGAAAACGTTCTTACAAGGAAATTAATACTGGGCCCATCACTGAGGACTTAAAAAAAGTTCATTATCTTTCCTCCACGGGTCCCATATACCCCTGGCGAATTCCGTGACAGTGTTGGGAGGGCAGAATATCCACTGCTTTATTTCCACTACCTCTTTTGCAGTTGGTCGTCTTCCTACGCTATATAATTGAAGCGCGGAAAGAAGCCGACGGATAAAGGGACATCGAAAAGGATTTTTAATCGCGTTTATCTGACCCTGCAAGGTTGGGAGATATGCCATCCTCCTCATTAGTTCTCGCCACCAACTTTCCATTCTCATTGCAGGACCCACGACTCTACAAATAGACCACAGTGCATCTGCTGCAAGAAACCGACGAGCCAGTTTTCCAGAGGCGCGTGATGCATTCAACACCACTATGTCACCTTTCAAGGATTTGTCAGCATAGGCCACAAGTTGTTCGGCAAGGCGTACAAGTATCTCTGTCTCCCTCTGAGATAGTTCTTTCTTGCGTAGCAAAACCCTTATAGGGCGAAGTTTCGCTGAAAATCCCCATGTTGGCTTTACTTTTTCAAAAGCATATTCCACGTTGAATGGCTCGACTTGCACCCCTGGCGAAACTACCGGAAGCTGGTAAAATGGATGATTCGCATAATTAGGCAAATCCTTGCCGTCTCTTTCTGCCTCTGGCGAGGAGTTGCTTAGCAGGGTGAGCAGAATGGAGTTCTGTGGCGAGAAAAGGTCCTGACGCAAAAAGCCAACAAACGAACAGATACTTTGTGGCTAAGACGAAAATAGGAAGTCACAATGACGCCCAAGAATCACGGAGCAAAGTGCATCCTTGGGCTCAACTCAGTCACCAGCAAGAAGGACATGACGAGACACGACGCCAGCAAATTTCAGGCAGAATCCTCTTCAGGCTCAACGCTAGATCAATTCTGAAACGTAGTTCAAAATCAAGACAGCAGCAGACGGAGAGTTGACAGCACTTCCTACCTGTGTCCGCTTTTCTTCTGTGGCTCCCGAGGGGGAAGTTTGAAGAGGATTGTCTTCCACAGGCGTGTGAGGAACAGATACCGACATGTTTTCAGACTGGACCTCTAAATGGGGAGAGGTTTCCTGTGGGTCCCACTCACCAGGTGACTCCAGCGCATTTGCAGAGTTTTCTCTGCAGTTCGTATCAGTAGCGCCTGCAGCATCCAAATGTTGCTGAGGCGAGGGCCATGGCGAAGAAATGCCACTACCACCGCTTCCTGCGGTAGACAGCTCTTTGGTCTGTGATTCAAAATATGTACTCACTGCATCTCCTGAGAGCACTGGTAGGTCCAAAGAAGCACGTAACCCCCCAAGTATCCACTGAAGTGTATAATTCTCTACAGGATCCGGATGCGGTCTTGAATTTGAGGTTGCACAAGGTTCTTCCGGACTCGCGGTGTAACCGTTGTTTGCTGGAGATTCTCCAGACTGCGCATACAATTGTGCGTAGCTTTGTAGAGCTTCTTCTGACAGGGAAGATAAAAATTCTGTATTATGACGCTCGGATGGGAGATCTGCATCGTCGTCTGAGTACGGGAGTCTTCTACTGCGAAACGAAGGCGAAGTCGGTGGAGCACCTGATGAGAACTGTATCAATGAGTCCAAGTTTCCTATAGGGTCCATCGACCATTCGGCAATTCTCTCTGTTGCTGACGGCTGCACCAATTTACCAGCTTCCATATCGATGTTTGCCGTTTCTTTCCCCTGCTCACTTGGTGGCTGCTCATTTGACGCAACGGCGCTCCCCTGAAGGGAAAGAAGAGGGCGATCCAAGATATCTAGCCCTACTGGCCTTAGCGCATCGTTAAATCGTTGGCATTGCTCCTCTCCCAATCTATTATTTGCGGAAGTCTTGTCTGTACTTCCGTCACCTGCAAGCCTGCGGATAGTCGTAGGTGAGCCGCGCTGTTGGTTTTTCTTCAGGTGGCAGAAGTACATCGTCATTACTAGGGCTAGAATCAAAAGACTGGCTATAAGTTTCGGGGCCCTCGTAGGGAACTTTTGGCATTGAACCGCTGCCGTTATAGACCAAGGAGACTCGTACACGGCCCTTTCGCCCCCAAATCGTGGCATGAATGCAGGGGAGGTCGTCAAATAAAGTGGTTCCGCCTCCCATTGAGTCAGCTCCAAGTCCACACTTGACATTGGCAAAATCACCAGATGCTCCTTCTGTAAGCTAGAAATCTTCAAACCTGCTAGTTATTGCACGTGGTCCGTCGGCTTCTGTGGGCAAAGAAGCCTGCATAGTGTGCGAGGAGACTAATTTGCAGCTCTCCCTAGAATTTTCTATGCGGGGCACACACTGTGAAGAACCCCGCAAATTAAGCCTTCAGCGCCCCGTTTCCGTATATTAAAAAAGTCAAAATTTCGAAAAATTGACTGACCGCCCTCTCGAAAATTTGGCTTCTGCTGGTAAGCCTGAATCCCAGTGCTTGAGCACCTGGGAGTCCTAGATCATGGTTCTGCCTTCAGTGATCACTCTGCCGAACCGCGAAACTGATTATTATGGGTGATCCTCATGCACTTCCGAAAAAAGTTCTATTTTTACGTTTTCGATTTATCGAAACTCAAAAAATCAAAGTAGGTAGTCGGGATGCTTCAGTATTCATAGAAGTCAAGCTCGAACGAGCTCATTCCAAGTGGTCCGACCAAGCCCCATCAAGTCGAACAAGGCCGCTCGCTGGATGGGTCAAGCCTCAATAGCGTGTCTCAGCAGACCTCGTGTCCCTCCTTTCAAAACGAATTCTTTTGTTCTCTCATGTTATAAACTGACTGTTGCAACCGGTACTAGCTTTCTTCCAAGGCCCTAATCTTGATATCTTGGCATTACCTTTTCTAGCGCATTCGCGAGAAATCAGTGGGACAAAATGTATCGAAGCTGAAAACTTATGGTGGTTATATAGGCTGGGAAGAGTGCTATCCCTCCAAAGTATTAGAGAGGCTGGTGCTCAGGCCAGCGGAGAGCTCTTCGTGCAGCTGAGAACTAGCCAGAGATTCCCGGGGTCAAACAGGTGCGATATACTCCGCAACTGTCTAAAAGACTGAATTGTCTTCAAAATACTGGCGGGCAGTGACGATGAGAGCTACAGATGTGGCCTAACATGCCCGGTGAGCCTCTCCCATTTGATATGGACTGCCAACGGCAAGGGGAGCCAGCACTGTGGGACACAAAAGGATCATTTTATGGCCGGCGTCAGCTTGACATTTACGTGGGAGGCAGGCACTGTCGCTCACCAAGAGCTCCCCTGTCTAAGCGAGAGCACCGCCAAACTGCTTCGTAAGCGGGATTAGTGTAAAATTTTCTAGATCTCGTTGATGCTCAAGGAAGCTGTTGAGCCCGTGGTTCCTCTGGGTACCCCGCTTCACCAGAGGCCGCCGCCACCCATATCATTCCTGTAGTTGAGCGGACTTGCCCGATACTGAATGACAGAACATTGTTCAACAGGACTCCAAAAATGGCTGAACGCTGTGTTCAACTAAGGAGCTGCGTGAGGCATCGTTACTGGCGTACCCTAAATATGACCACAGATTTCCAGGCTAATTTACAGACGGCAAATAGTTTTAAGAAGTGGATGGAGCCTCCGTAGCGATTCAGCTCCAAGTAAGGTGGTTAATGTGGGTGACGCGCCTGCACAGCTGAGCAATGCGCGCTCCAGAGTTCGCAGATTCACTGTGCCATAATCCAAGGAGAGGGGATCGCTTCCTACAGCTGCTCACCCTGATCTCAGATTTGTTGCCTGACACGAAACCTCTACTGGTAACCCTCAGCATTTCAAGTGGGTCAGCCTCTGCACACACTGCGTTGCAGCTTCAAGCTCTCCAGCCCTCGCTACGACTTAATGCATATCTGGACGCGTTAACGGCGACAAGTCGAGTCCTACAGAAAGCGATACTAAGCTCCAATCTGCAGCATCAACTATAAAATACAGAAGAATCGCAAGGGGCGTGTTTAACCCCCAAAAAGAAAGTTGGGCATTTATCGAGGAGCAGCAAGAGCAGCAAGACCACCAGGCAAATGAAGTCGGTAGCAGCCCCCAGCGAAGCACACTGGCTACAAATGACTCGTAGACCCAATGTCATCAAACACAAAGGAGACCTAATGCTCAGTAACCAAACAGGACACTGACCGTTCCGCATATAAGCCAGCGCTTTGGTCCATGCTGTCAAGCTGGTCAGCAAGCTCCTACAAGTGCTTGAAGAAGACAAACCATGGAGGTATCCGTGTAATGCGAGTGCCGCTTGCCTCTGAGTTTGTACATAGTCGTGAAAAAGTACAGCTCGATACCTCTGTGGATTGTCCTTTGTCGAGTAGCTGTGTAGTTCGAGTACTGCTTTTGTCAAGTGCCGGGTGACACATGCTGTTAGACCAGCAGCACTGCGGAGAGCCCTCTCATCTAATGGTATATCCCGCCTTTGCCTTCTTACCTTCTCAAATGATGTTGCATTTGGTCCTAGCTGCCCACTTCACGCACTAGGCTGAGCAGGCTGTCTAGTAATAAGTTTCTGTCACGTACGCCCGTTGCATCACTTCTGGCCATAAGCTGGGCAGTTCGTGTATGTCAAGCAATGTGGACATTTAGGCCCTTATGAGCCCACCAGTTTGTCCAACCATACGTAAACATGTAGGCAAAAGTCCAACACGTATTCTCAATTTAGTTTTAGTGCACCACATGCTAATCGGCAAAGAATCAATACTGCATTGCGTTAGTTGTTGCTTATCAGTCGGCAGAACAGAAGTGTTGTGCCATCAAAGGCAAATTGTGCAGAATTGCTGCGCAGAAGACATAAAAATGGAAGGCGATGGTAGCATTCAAAACTTTTTCGTGTAGTTTAGCCTTGACCTGCTTTGCCCCCGTTTTCCGACGAGTCGAATCAAAACTTCAGTTCAGACGCGTAGTTTGTTCAAAGGCATGAGAGCATACGATTACATATCCCTTAAATACACGCTCTGCATGGTTTTGCCCAGCTGACTGGAAACCCGAAGTACATTCTATCCCAGCTGCTATCCCACATTCACAAAAATGCTGTTTTTTTCCTAGTTGCATTTGGCGCCCGTTTTGATAGTAACAGCGTATTATGCAGGACAATGCTCTGCTTCATCATCACGAAATTGTTTCACACAAAAGCTGCATCCTTCAGTCAGCTTTTACGTTTTTACGGGGCAGCGACGACAAGAGCAATAGCTGTACCTCAGGCCAACAGCGTAGATTAGGACGACTATCCTGAATAGTCAGTGTGCTTCCCAAACACAGCTATAGTTCCGGCATGCCAGCAGTATTTCTGTTGCTAGCATGTGGCAGCAAAATTGGCTTACTAATGGCTAAAGTAGTCTAATAATATCCATTGATGATCACATGACTTCGGTGAGGACGGGCAGCAAATGACAGCACGTCCATTTTGCGAAGGCACAGGGAAAATACACAAGTATGTGCTAACAGATGTTGGGCGCAACTAATGGACGAGATGAGCTCAGATATCGATCAGCCGTATGGTGCTGAGTTGTTCGGTGTATCTCTGGGATGACTCCAAAGGTCCCCATTGGATAGCTGTGTTCTGAGTGTTTCTAGCCACGAAGACGCATGTGTGACCGCATTACCGTAACGGACTCGAAAGCACTGTGGGGAGTTTCCCCGGGTGAAGAATACTTCAGATGATGGGCCATTTGTGTGGAAGCTTGCATTGTTGTAGTGGGTTTGCCATTCGCTGTCCTTCTTCCTATAAAATATAAAGCAGGAGTAATAGGCTAATTTTATCGAACAGGGTGACAGGACTCACCTTGACGGCGCCTTGTGAGCGCCGATGCACTTGCTATGCGAATCAATCCAGTGACAGGTTGGGCGAGCAAGCGAGTGGAGATGATTTCATTTGGATACTAAAGAGCAGTCAGCCAGTACGTGTGCCGAATGTACAAAGCCATTAAAGCTTTCCACACGGCTTTCAGCACCAGCCTCCCATTTTGTCATGTTCACGTAGGCGCTCTGGGAATCGGATGACCAACACTAGGAGTTCTGCTGAGCATGCTTGTTGCGATCGCCTGTAGCGGTCGCCTATATCTAGATATGATAATACACAGGCAAGCAGCACACCTACATAAAATTTCGGCCACGTCAAAGCTACCATTGTCTCTGCATTAGCTGTAGTGACGCTGCGCGGCAGTGCAACGCTCATATAGCCGCTCAGTTCTTTTCGAATTAAGCCTCATCCGGTTTTTGCAGCGCCTGAAATACGACTAGTAAAGCATTATCTGTAATAAAGTAGACAGAGTTTGACTAGCTGAAATGCACTTCACGCGCTCTGTCGATCTCAAATAAACACCGCCAATAATCAAAGCGTCTGGAAAAAATAAGTTGCATTAGGAAGTGCCTTCAAAGTGTCTGTCGTCTCTTCTCCACGGATCCCACCTAGACTTTTTAAATTCACGAGTACTGCGTGCTGGCCGAAATATCGACTGTTTCAGAAGTACTACAGTCTTCGCACTTGGTCTCTTGCCCTTCCTATATAGATGCATTGCAGCAAGCAGCTTACAGAAAAAGGGATCCTTTGCAATCAGCACCTCCATCTGCAACCGCGCACTTAAGCCATTTGCCATTTTATCCAGAAGCTGTGTCCACCACTTTTCCTTCTGCATTGCAGGACCCAAGACACTACAAATACACCACAGTGCATCTGCCACAAGGAACCGACGGCTAAGTGGCTCAATAGCGTGAGACAATTTTGACGCAGATATTTTCCTTGTCAGAAACTTTTGGGCATACGAAAGGAGACGCTGACCATGCTTTAAGAGCAGCTGCATATCCCCCAGAGACAGTTGCTGCTGGAGTAAGAGCACCCGAACAGGATGAAGTTTCTCTGCGATTCCAGAGGCTATTCCCGTATATACTAAAGTCTTCCTGACATCAAATGCAGGGAGGTCTGCACCTGGATGAGCAAGTGGTAGCCGGTAGTATGGATGCGTTGCATAGTCAGGCCGGCCTTGAGTTAGCGAGCTCGTTGCCACTGGCTGAGCAGGAACAGTGGTGAATTGAAATGGCGGGATGGCCTGAGAATAGAACGGCAAACGCATGCAGAATCTCTGCTTCAGTTGAAACATTGGGAATAAATGTCTTACCAAAGCGGCCTTGAGCAGAATGCATATTCGGGCATGCTAGGAGTAACGCCGAATCAAGGCGATTTAAAACGACATCAATACTGTGCGAGCAGATCTAATGCATGCAAAGCGAAGAATCGTGCATAGAAACAAAGGGGTCACAAAACTGGAGCAAAACAACGAAGTGCAGACTGCTTGTTCGCACTCACTTGATTCTGTCCTGGGAACTGTGCGACTTCCAAAGTGTGCGCAAGGACAGAATGTGTTCCCAAACGCGTGGAGGGCACTAATGTTGCAGGCCACCTTCCACCGATGGCTCCAGCCCACCTTCCATCGGTGGCTCCAGCTCTCCTTCCATCGATGGCTCCAGCCCACCTTCCATCCATGGCTCCAGCCCACCTTCCATCCATGGCTCCAGCCCACCTCCCATCAATGGCTCCAGCCCTCCTTCCATCGATGGCTCCAGCCCTCCTTCCATCAATGGCTCCAGCCCACCTTCCATCGATGGCTCCAAAATCGGCAGTCCTCTGGCGTTTAGCCGGCTGCTGATCAGGTGATTGAAACAAAGATGCGCCAGCCTCAGCAACTCCTGCATTCATAGCATTGGTGTTTCCTAGAGGTTGTCGACAAGGCGCTGTCGATGTTGAATAGAACATCGGCCCTCCGTCAGGCGCGCTTGTTGTGGCTTGCCGTACTGGCAAGAACGGACCTGCTGCAGTTGCTGGAAGCTCCGGTAAATTCAAATCTTCGTCTAACGTATCAAGAAGTTGATCAATAAGGGCACTCTCTTCAGAAGTGAGCTGATCTATGGAAGCTTGAAGGCCGTCATAATCATTGGGAGTCACTGTGGAGTCTCCGCTCATCCCAGAGACGCTCTCATCCAGGTGTCCGGCGCTTGGTGAGTTGGACAGCTGCAAAAGCGGATTTACTCCCTTCATCCCGGTCAAAGCAGACACGTTTTGATCCACAAGAGGAAAGTTTGAGCAGTTAAGGGAAGATCCAGGTGTCGAAGCTTGCGTCTCGGCATTTATTAATGCCTCTAAATCTTCTATCGGGTCCATCAACCATTCATCAATTCTTGCCGTCGCCGTTTGCCCAGGTGCTGTGTCCAAATGCATCTCAACTCTTTCGTTGTCCGCCCTGTTTCCAAGTGCTGGTCCCTCGTCAGAGTGCATTTCTGGGAGTTTTGAATAGACACGCAACACATTGACGGTAGTTGGTCCGGGTAAGCCCGCTGCGTTGTCAAGATTGCCGCAAGCCTCCAGGTCAATGCCCAGCAGCATATACTCCTCCCCGGCACTTTCGTTAGCGCCTGCTAGCCTGCGGGTAAATGATGCTGAACTGAGCCGGCTCCTGCTTTTTAGCCAACAGAAGTACACCGTTGCTATCAAGGCTAGAATTGAACCAATGATAAAACGCTTCCGAATACCCCTGTGAGGTTGTTGGCCCTTACAACTCAGTGAAGGGGATATGTCAGACCGGTGTTTGAGCCTATTGTTTCCACACCATGACATGGTTGCGGGGGAATCTGTTGAATGCACGGATGCGGGAAAATGCGGGAAATCCTTTAAATGCAACAGTTCCCCGACTAGTTGCTGAGGCGACTCCAGGCGCGCACTTGGCATTTGACAGTATCGGAAGGGGCAGTCGACACAAGTTGAAAATCCTCAGCTTTACCAGCTTCGGTAGGATGGGACAATGACCCGAAACCCGATTCAGTGTGCAAGGGCAGGGCTGCTGGCAGCGCTGCATCTACTGAAGCAAACACTGTCAAAAAAATCTCATTGGAAAATGATCCCCGAGCCTTAGAGACAGGTGGGAAAGATATATAGATGCCAGTGTGAAGAGAAAAAACTCGTAAGCTCACCGTCTTCACGAATATGTTGCCTCTCTCTCACATTCCAGTTCATCGGCGAGACTGAAGCAACAAGGATTTCTCACTTGGACCATTATCTCCTGATAAGTCCCGCGTCACCATGATCAGGAAGGAAAAAGCCAAGTTTACGTCCTTTGCATTCTGTAATGAGCCACGAAATGCAGTAGGTGGCTCAAGCCAGTACTACATGGCTGTTAATGTTTAGAATGGCGCACATGGACAGAAACTGCTTAAACTGTTCACCACAATGCAATAAAACTGTCAAAAGTTCATGTTCCAAACAGTGTATGCTTGTAGTGGACCTGCGGTTGTTAGTTGCTGCGTTGCCATTCCGGAAGGGGTCTTGTGAGCTTGGATAGACAAGGCTGCGAAATACGTGCAATGGCACATTCTCTTCCGATGTAAACACCACAAAAAAATAAAAACTAAAACTAAATGAAATTCTCGTTGTTAAAAAAGGCGAAGTGTTCGTGTCTAAAGTAGCTTAGTGCGTGACTGTCAGTGCGTCGAGCCCTGCTATGTGCGCCCGCATCGATTTTACTCAGGCCCTGGTCCTATCCTAGACCATCAATTGTTTCCAAAGCGTAACTTAAGACTAAATAAAATATAATGCTGCGATCATTTCCTGTGATCGCTGAAAACGAATCGCCGCCATTCTCTGCTACCGCGCTGAGCCATTAGATCACTGGTGGCGTAGACACATATCGTGCTGTTCGGCGTGAAGACTCTACGGAGTCTTTAGGCTTAATCTCTCTACAGAAGGACCATTTTAATTTATGTCTGCGTTATATTCAATGCCTTTTAAGCCTATTTCGCTTTGCTTCTATGCCCAGTTGTAGTGCCCTTCTTAACACTACGTGAGGAGCCGTCAACACCATCAAGCCCTTTAAAGCCACCTTGTAGATACATTACAGAAGCTTCATACACAAGAACGCAGTTTTATTAACGTGATTTGCTTCAGTGTGCCTAAAGTAAGAGTGGAGTATGCAAAGGGAAAGCCGCCGTGGGGGGCAAACACGCATCTTAATGCTGCCGCCAGAGAAAACTTGCTCATGCAGGGAGCGTGCTGACTTGGGACATGCATATTGTTAACTATACATTCAGAGTTTATTATTCGGAGGTTTTTGGTGCTTATCAGCTCCAGCAATCGGAGGAGCCACACCGAGAGTGGCTCTGATACACACTTTACGTTCCAGAGTTGGCTCTGCATGATAATCCCGGCACCTTCACTACTTTCGCATGCTCGTACCCTGCCCCTTCAATACTCTTGCGTGCTCGTACTATAGGACTCAGCTAACAAACCGAGTTTAAATTTGTATGGAAGAAGTAGCTCACCGTTTGGGATGTCTTGAGCTAAGATTGACGGAGGCTATTTATTGGCGGCACATGCCAAGTACAGGCCTTGGTACTCCACAACTCCTAAAACAATCTTTGGCTAGAAAGGGGCTGTGTTCAACTTGTACTATGCTTGTGAGCCACTTGCGGAAGCGGTCTGGGATGCTTACGGAACCGCTAGACTAGAACATAACAGCCTAGAGCAGTCTAGAGCTCACCACACTGACTTTGGGAAACGTCCTGAGGTGCCTGGGATAAAGTAGCGCTACGCTTTTGCACTACTCTTTTATATGCGAGTCAGGGGGGACTAAGTCCATAGCTGGTGCTATGCAAGACCCTTGAGAAGCCCAAAATGGGTCTGCTGTGTGGGCCCTGGCCGGAGAAGCAGCATCTGGAGACGATTAGTGCATGGAGCAATTCTTCAGGCTACTGGAAATTAATATCCTAGAAGACCTATGGAGGCTTTGTTCCTAGGTTAGTGTTGCAGCCGCAAATGTGAACCATGCATACGGGTCTGAGGACAGGCTAGTGTTGCAGCCGCAAATGCGAACCATGCATACGGAGGCGCTCGAATTTTGCGTTGGAATGCGTCTGTAGTGAGCCTGATTGCTTGCTGGACATCGGCCGATGCACAAAAACGTGGCAGGTCTGTGAGGCAGAGCACGGAGGCTCTAACCGACCACACAGCCCCTGCTTCGATGCATCGTAGCCTATTCACGGCGGCAACAAAATAAGACTAAATAACCAAGCCCTTGACCAAACATCAACGCCTAAAGTATCTTGCGTCAGACGCTTTTCTTGCGTGCATGCAGCCCTGCTTCACGCACTCATGGGCACTGCCTAGACCCTCGTGGCCCATGGGGTCTTACATAGTTGACCAACTTTTGACCTCTAACGGTGCCTTTTTTTATAGCACCACTGTCCTCTTCCCTCCTCCTTCCCATCTCTGCAGTGCTGGGAAAGTAGGATCCTGGCAACTTTTTTGTGTGAATCACTAAATTAAGACGTTTCCAATGGGTGCAGTTTGCTATTGACATTTAGACGCCATCTCACATTAGTTCTACTGACCACGCTAGCGCACGAGCCCGAACCGCAAGACACTTATCACCGTGTCAGTCGCGCTACGTTCCTTTGCCTCGACGTGGCAAGTTGCTCGGTTGCGTTGTAGAATTGTGTGCAAAGGACTGTGCGCCAGTTATGTTCACGTGGACGCTTTTCAGGCTGAATCTCGACAAAAGCACTGCAACGACAATATGTTTAGTTTGAAGTTTGGGTTCTTCATTTAAATGATAAAGTAAGGGCTTATCAACGACCTACGTGAATCTCTGACGTTCAAACGTATTCGAAATCCCCTCTACTAGTGAAGGCGTTATAAAATCACGAACTTTCCGCTAAGTAAGCCCGTGAGTACCCTACCCTTCATGAGTATGAAAGCTCGTAGCAGACTCCTGCACATTCTGCAATTTGCTTCAACCTCAAAAAAATGTTTTGCAACAGGACTCAAATGGGACCCCCCGGTCAAACCACGGAGTCAAGAAATGCCTCTGAAATGTTTGTCGTCATTTCTCCAGGGGTCCCACTGAGGTCTTCTGAACTCTTCGGTGACGCACGGTTGACGAAGTATTCGCATTTTCAACTCTACAACCTCTCTCGGAGCTGGCCGGTCGCCTCTCTTGTATTGTTCCAAAGCAGCAACAATTCGAGCTAAAAACGTAGGCCCATTAGGGCTACTCAGCGAATTTACGTGATCCACTAAAGCTTCATGACCTCCAATCTTCCCTAATATTTGATCCCACCATTGCCCCCTCTGCATTGCAGGGCCTACAATGTTACAAATACACCACAATGCATCTGCCACAAGGAAGCGACGAGCCATTGATTCCGAGAGTCGCCAATTTGATTTCAATGAGATTTCTTTCGCCAAGTACTTCTGAGCATACGCCACAAGCTGTTCACCAAGACGTACAAGTTGTTGCATATCCTGTGCAGAGATCTGCGGTTTTAGAAATATCTGTCGAATAGGGTCAAGCTTCGCAGCAGCCCCAGCGGCTGGTGCTGCAATTGTTAGAGCGAAATCTGTATCAAATGGCTCGATTCCCATCGTTGGACCGGCAGGTGGCAGCCGGTAGAACGGATGCTTCTCGTAATCAGGCTCTTGCTGTTCCAGGGCACTCGTGGTTTCTCGCAGAGTGGTGCCAGTGAGTGGTGGGGTGGGCTGACACGGACGACAGAAAGGCAAAGAACAGCCATTCTTCAAGCAGAATAGCAGAAGCATGCTCTGTTCTGAAAAAGGAATGAACGAAATGCCAGTGCGTCCTTGGGCAAGGGAGAGAAACACTAAAAACAACACGATAGAACGCAATGATAAAAGCAGTGTACACAGCCTGGAGACGCAGCGCTGCATGCTTCTGAAACGCTCAAGTGTTGCAGAAACAAGGCCGCAGTGGTGAAATTTGTTCGCACTCACCTTGGGTAGGAGCCTAGCTTGCTTGGCTTTAGAGCGCTGCTTACTCAAAGGACGTTCTGCCCTTTTCGTACAAGTAGAAGGCGCTAAAGGCTTCAACATGCTTTCACGTGAAACGGACAGGGCTTGATTTGCCGAGGTACCCTGGTGTTCATCGTGCAACTGTGAGACACCTCCATAATTTTCCCCGCCGATTTGCGCAGATACAGTATTTGCAACTTCGAGGCATCTTCGTTGTAGCGGGATCGGTGCGCTATATATATCATTGTCTGTGGGTTCAATGGGAAATGGACGGGTTGGACTTTGCACTGCCGAAGTGAAAGTACTGGCTGCAGTCGCTGAACGCTTACGAGATTGTGAAGAACATCTAAGATTTCCGCGTAATGTGCTGATTAGAGCTTGTTTTTTGATACAATGCTTGTTAGAAAGGTCCAAATTGTCATCAGACTTCTGTTTAGTCACTGCAATGTTGCTGGCCGTCGCGAACGACCCGGAGTTTTGTCGGTTTCTATCAGCGGCCTTCTCACTGCGGGGGGAGGATGAGGCCGTAATTGTGTCTCTTGGCGGATGCGTTGTCGCGTTTAAACCCTCCATAGAGTCCATTGCCGATTCAAGAGCTCTCGCTGCCATGCTGTGAACTGTTGTGCTGTCTCGAGCCACATTGGCATCTGGGCTGTGTTCCTCTCTTTTTCCTGCTGACTCTTCATTGAGCATTCTCCTTAACACTTGTTGAGCCGCGGGTGAGGTCTCAGAAGTACCAAGCTCCTGTGAGCCCGTTGCAGTGTAGAGGCTCTCGCAAGCGTCTACGCCAGCCCTACCTGCCCTTTCCTCTTGATTATCCCCCTTTTCACCACTCGCCAGTCTGCGAATTAGTACATTTGTGCTGGCAAGGTTGTTTCTCTGGAGAATACACCAGTGCACTGCCAAGACCAAAGCTATAACTGCCGCGAGCATTTGCAGGACCTTGGAGGGGCGATGAGCTCCTTGATTGGGCCATAATCTGAACCTTTCATTCTTAGTATTCAATGCGCCGATGCCGGATGGTGGAGCAGAGTCGCGGAAAGGTGTTACATACAGCAGCTCCATGACGGGCTGCTGGGTGATCCCTGACTTAGAGCTTAACATTGGCGCTACCAGCGAATGGTCTTAGCACATGTTGAAATGCCGTCTTGGTCTTCTAGACTACTAAAGTAAAAAATGTAGCCCCCGGGATTAAAACAGGACCTGTTTGCGAAGGACGGGGAAACGGTGTTGTTCAGATCCTGCCATGGTTCACCTTGCTCGTCCTGGGAGAGGAGGAAAATACTCCCGCACTGCAACCAAAGAACAGGATCGAAAATCGTTGTGAGCCTTGAAGTTATACTTTGTAGGCGTTCAGTCTCTTTAGCACCCCCCGTGTCATGACAGGAAGCAGAGGCTGCCACTCGGCAGTGACCCTTGGCTTCTTTGGTTGTTCCCCAAGGATCCACCTCCCCCTTGAAAAAGTAGCAAGGGATCCCAACCACTTGTGAATGATATAGAAGCCACATCATATTTCTTTTGCCGCACGTTACAGAACAGCTCAACGCGGAATGTTTTTCCAGCTTGCCCTTCCCCCAGATCGAGATGAGGCGGGTAATCTAGACTCTGCGCGCCTCAAGCTTTGGTACTAATGCACTTTTCATATATAAAGTTGAAGAAACGAACCTGACGGGAGAAAAGTGCGGCAAATTCGATCGCTTTGCCCTCTGTGAAGGACATGTAGGATTCTCAGATTGCAAGATCACCTAGTAGCCGAAGTCTATAGATCATCCGGTAAAGCGACTCACTCTACTACCGAAAGGGCGTTAGAATTAATTCTCCGCTTCACTTCTTCACTCTCTAACCAAGCTCTAGAAATACTTGAAGCCGCACATGCGCACGCTCTAAGGCCTTCAGCACTGTTTGTCTCGACGCATGGAACCAACAGCCATAGTCCAGTATGCGTTACGTCTCACGACATTTTTCTGAAGCTCTGACCGACTGTTCAGCAGTACAGTGCATCACTTGCACTACAGTACCACAGGCAGCTTGCCTTCAGGAAGCTACTAAGCTACGTTAAGCAGTAGCCACTAGTTGTTCCAACGTGACGGCTGCCGAGATTTTTGGAGTTATAAAGCAGACCCCTTCGCTTGATCATCATAAGTGAAAAATTCAAATGCTGTTAGGATCATGCAAAGAAACTGGCAGGCATCCAGGCATCCCCCTCCTAGCCTTCGCCCACAGATCATTTGCGGTTCTGAGCTACTAACTTGTGGCGCTGCATTCATGCACCACTTTTTCAAGTTCAATGTTCTAAAAAATGGTGTAGTAACATTTATTTGCACTAAGCATGCTAATGGTTGTGCGAAGCCGCATATAACCAGCATAAGCGTTCCAGAATGGCAGGCAGCTTGCAGGGCTTGTTTTGCGGCTAGTCGACTATACATCCTTGAAAGCTAATGCTACAGATCCTCAGGTTTAAAAAAGTTTTAGAAACATTGACGATGTTCATGATAAATGACGGTAGGAATGCGCCTAGAGGCACTAGACACTAAACGAGCACGGAAGACAGGTTCATACCCCGGGGAGCCACACAGGGAAGTCAATGCATGAGTCGCAAACCGAAAATGACCAGTCCAATAAAGCACCCAGTAAGACAAATCATTGTGAAGATAATTTGTTGCATGGTCACAAAGCTGCCGCCCCGTGCCAAACCAGTAGCGAAGCTCGTCTTTCATTGCTACGCGTGTGCACCGCTGCAGCTCTCTCACCCCTCTAACCCTCCTCTTAACTGGCATGTACCCGGTAACTTGCGCTGCTAACCCTGAATAACCACCAAATATGACTCAGCTCAGCAGTACAGTCATTCGAAGGCGGTTCTTAGGAAAAATTGGAGGAAATGTTGGTGGGCAAAAGCCCCCTTGAAGTGCTGTTGCCCTGGCAGCAAACGCAAAGGGGAAAGGTGCCCGCATCGGGACCGATTGCTGAATTGTGGACAGACTGTGCCGCATGAATATCGGCCAAGTAGATTTCAGTGGCAAGAAGCAAATTGAGCTCTATCTTGGAACACTGCGCGTCCTCATACTATATTGGCGTGCCTGAGATGAACGTGCCTTCAACAAATGTTTCTCTAGGTTCGCTGTGGAACAGGCAACGTGGGAGATCGTGACTCTAACGTTGTAAATCACAGCATGTTTTATGTCAGTTACTTTTTTCAAGTTGCAGTAGACTACATGTCAGCTCTCCTGTCACGTGTTGGCATTTGCCCGAGGAACCGCAACGGTCCTGACGCCTGCTTAACTGGGATCTCTGCAGAGTTTGCCAAAATGTAGATACTTCTCACCTCAAACTATGGCGTTCGTAGTGCAGAGACGGTACCTTCCATGGGACATATTCAAGGTGTTAAGGTAGCGCCGCGGGCTCTTCTTTTTTGAGGTTTCATCAGATTGCAGTGAGCTGGTTGTCTGTTATGAAATATCAACTTGATGCCTAGAAAGCAATTTGAATAAAGGCTAGTGGCTAAAGAGATGAAATAGGAAGGCAAGGAAGTCGTGTTGTTGCCCGAAGTGCTACACATAAAGCTGCGCATATTGTTCCTGAGAAGGCTGCACCTCTCTCTAGAGCCGGATAATGATTGTGTACACCATTCTATCAACAGAGTTAGTATGAAACACAAGGTATTACTTGGTTCTAAAGGACGGGCCCCCGAAGGATATTGCCCATTGCAGCAGACACAGTAAAACGCCATCGCACGCAACAAACCAAACGCCAAATCTATCAATCAATAATGGTAAATGAGTAGTAAAAATGCGCAAAATCTACTCAGACAATCAAGAGGTGATCAGTCACGAAGAAACAAACCAATAATTCACACGTGCCGCTACGTGCAGCACTACTTTGCGCTTCGGGAATACGGGATTTAGGCTTTGAACTACTTTGGATGCATTAATCATTTCGCAGAAAGAAGAAACGCTTTAAATGGAGCTAATTTCGAAGCTCCAAATGGATATAAAGTACGAAGGATACGTGTATGCGGGAAAGAATACAGCTCGCAGAAACTAACCGAATTACAATACCCACGCCACACGAAGGTGCACGTAGAGATGTGATTGCGCAAAGGGCAAGCATGCGGCACGCGAAACTAAAAAGAAACAAAGAAAGTAACAAGTAAGAATGCAATTAATGGACTCAGTGATGACATGAAAATGATAGCTGTTCAAGGTTTATTGCATGTACATATGTTATGCGATAATGCCATATATACGTAAACATACGTATTTACGTACATGCGCATGTAAACGCAAAAAATCGACGGAAAGAGGAGGAATGTAACAGTTATAATTAAAGTTGGATCAAAATTAGTAGACAAATCATGAGAAAATAAGAAATGAAAATTTTGACTGACTGGAGAGCCAATTTAGGAGTTCCAACTAGTTGAGTACGCGCATTGACAGGTACCCGTGTATACACGCAAATACAGAAGTAGATAGACTAACCGAAGTGACCAATAAAGCAGCACTCCTCCATAAGAGAAATAGGTAAACGAACGATAACTTTGATCTGTTTTCGAAGAGGCGAATAAAGTAGCACCCATAAAAAGGCCAAATAATAAGTAAAAGAATACTTTGGCCAGTTTGACCAATTTTTGTACAAATGCATTCGCATCTGTACTAATTGGCTTATCTACTTTATAAATGGGTGAGCTGAACTGAACAGCCAGCCACACACCTCAACAACTAGCCCGCAAATGCGTGTCTTTAACAACCCACCCCTCCACCCAACAACTGAAGCATATTAACTAACGTAGTACTCGGTTAAGCTTTCAAGCTGGAGGATGAACTGTCAGTTGGACAGCACGTAGATGCAGGTTGCAGGCCGGAAAGCGACGACTGCAACTGATTCAGACCAGCAAAACGGACACAACCAAAAAGGAGTTCGCACAAAATCAGCACCACGAAGACTGATAGGAAAGTGAACCGCAGCGGTAAACACGCAGAGCTGCTGCTGGCTCTTCTGCAGGTAATGGTGACATTCTGCTGCTTAGGCAGATAAATCTGCGGCGACACATTTCCGCACTACAGACTACAATGAGACCGGACGCAAGGTGGCACTGCTGGAACTCCCACCGTCGGTCTGGCACGTGACGCTGGATGCCGCTAGTATCTGGCTAAATAGAGGGGGCGCGCTGCTGCTTCTACTGCTGTTGAGCCTGCAACTGCTTTGTCGTTCTACTGCTGGCGCTGGCAGTTGCAGAAACAGCATGTGGAGAAGCTGGTCAGAGTACACGGCTTGCTGCTGGCGCTACTTTTGTTACTCGTTTCGCTGCTGCTGGCAAAGTTGCTTGTGGAGTCGCTGTCGTTGTTGCTGCTTTTTGTGGCTGCTGCCACTGTTGCTGTCACCGTTCCCCCTATCAACCTTGTGCCATAAAAGAAAGCTTTACCACTTCCGTTGCTCTCATACGTGTATTACGTTTGGTGTTTCAGGCGTTGGCTGTTTGCTGGTGATGGGCTACGCCTAACGGCGAATCACACAGTAAATGTGCGAAGGCTTCGGATCCACGGCTTAGCGTTTAACCGTGAAGGATTTAGAGGCCCTGGACGATGCTTCTTTGGATACGATCGGCTACTGGAGGCTGCTGACACACTGAAACACGGTTGCTTTTCTAGCTAAGTGTCCTTTCACTTCAATAATTGCATTTTCTGGAGAAACAAATCGCATCAGCGCAGTTAGGGGCTGCAGCACCAGAGGTTCCTGCTCGGTTATTTGGAGATTAGCAGCAGCTGGTACTTCACCAGCTCCACAACGGACTCTAAAGGATCAGCAACCACAGCAGTAAAAGACAACAGCACAGCAAAAACAGCAGCCAAGACACCTGCACTGCTCGCTGCTGCTGCTCTTGAGGCCCTGCAGCGATTTAAACCTCCAGGTGCATTTATGCATATACTGCACATACAAACGGCACATACATATACATATTAAACATATATATGAACGCGTTCCCAAGGGCCAAAATAGCTGCTATGCTGAGCGTGAAGCCCAAAGAACTGAAACAGTATGCCCTACAATTGGCTGCCTTCAAAGCACGAACATACTTTTGGTGCTGAGGGATCTGAAGAACGTGTCCC